TCGATAATTACGTTGTATAACCAAAAACTTGTGAAATTGTCCCATTTAATGTTGAAATAAATATTCAGTGTATCCTAGCATCTCTGTTTACCTCCATTTGGAAGTATTTTGAGTCATATGATGTGATTTAGCCTTTTATTATTAAATACATGTAAGCTGACGTAGGTTAAGGTATTTTATGCATTGTACTGAATCAATAGCAGCTTTAAAATCTGTGTATACCTGCTGTCAATAGTTGTTACCTAGATTTGCTGAAGCAGAGAACTACTTTAATGTACATAAAATACTTCACAGAATATTCATTAAGTTTTGTAAGTGATGGCTTTCTAAGAGATAAAATAAACAAGGTGTACATAAATTGATTATCAACATACATGCCTTTGGACTCATTTTAATATTATTATTGAAAAACAAAATGGTGAAAATAGGAAAATATATCTATACAGTATGGTGAAAATAAAAAGGGTACATACAACTTTGGTTATAATTTTACTATTGTTAAAAAATTTTCTTGTCAAGTCATACGCTAGAATTAATGTTACTAATGTAATAGTAAATGCTACTACTAGGAAAGACAACAACCTTAATTTGGTCTGTATTAGTAATTAGTCTTCTCAAAATCTCTATCAGATGTTGACTTGAAAATTTGAAAGTAGTGAAGTTAACAGTAGCTTAACTGTAAATGTTACTCATTCCTATGCAAATTGGAATACCCACAGTAAAATTTATTCGTCGTTGAATATAGTCATATCAATAGTTTTTACTTCCTTGAAAAATAATTAACCTTAGGCAGTAAGTAGCCTGGTGAGTTATTATTATTATTTTTTAGTTTCTTTTTCTAGGAAATGTGGTATCTACGTACAACGTTATAAAACTTATATGCGTATAATCCTTTAAAGTCCGCTGATGTTGATTGTATAAAGGCATAGAACGGCAATTATGCAAGTAAATTATATTTGGTGAATAACTAAACAGGTAAACGGAAGTCGCCGACGGTAAATACCGAAAATGAACGGATAAATACGTGTATTTACGATGATGCAGTGGGCGGGGAAATGGGCGGAGCTTATTTTATCTCATATTGAAAAACTTGTAAAGCAGGATAATGCTGATCCGAATCATGATGGTTCGACAATGTAAAGCTAAGAATGTAACTTCTGTTTTGTCGGGGTATACACGAACAAAGAGTATTCGAACACTTGATATTGCTACTATCAGCAAAACAGTTAATGTTTTGTCGTTTAACAAAATGTATTTTATTGAATTGCATGTTTACAATGTAAAATCGGCAAACTCAATCCTAGAATGCAACATTGGGGTTTACATGCAAAGAAATACAATTGTATTTTGTCCGTTAACAAACTGTTCAACTCTGATCAACTAGGCTGGATTTTTGGCAACGAATAGCCTCCATACATGTAAAATGGCTGGCTGTGCACTGCATTCTTTAAGAATAACCAAATATTTTCTACGAATACGAATATCTGTTTAGATCTGCGCAATTGTTAAAATTAAAGGCGAAACATTACGACAAGAAAATTGTATTACGTCTTAATAGTAATATTCGTTTTATACTGTGGCATGACGGTTACCCCTTAATGTCAATGTCATATTGTGCCAGGAATCCGGCACCATGTATCTGATTTATATATAGACAGATCTGACACGCTCGTAATGGTTTATCATAATGCCTTGGACATTATTAGTTTAAATATGCTTATTAAAAGATACCTAAACTTTTAAAGCAGCATGTCTCCAGATTCATGCTAATTTTCATAATAACTTTGAAATTGTATTTAAAAGTAAAATATTTTGAAGTAATCAAAGAAAGTAATTAACACATTGCAAACGGCACGTTCAATCCACGTAATTTACCCAAAAATATACAAAAATGCCTCTTATTGCGTTAGTAACGCAGTAAAATTATAGTGATCGATACTACAAAATAAGTCATTAATCGCATAAAATATGTAAATGATTAATTAAATATTAAATCATTCTACATTTCTTAAGATCTTAATACATTTTCTCCAGATTGGATTTCTTGAAATATTTTGGCTCACCTCGATGCGTGCAGCTTTAATAACCAAATGGCCAAAAAATAAAAAAATAAAATTTGAGCATATTATTCATGTATAAGACATAAAAGTTATCAGATCCGTTAGCAAATCTAAACCAAAAAAATATATATATATTAAGGAGGTTAACAATATTTACTGTATAAAAGGCGGCTATTTAAGTTTTTAAGCCGCACAGCACTATCAAAATCATCTGAAAAGAGCAATTACAAAACTTTAAAATATCTACATTTAACTTTCTTCAACACAAACTTGTTTTCTAGATTCTTGAAGTAAACAAAAGGATAGATCCAAAAATCTAGATGTGTTATTCAATACAACATCAATGCGTTTTGCTCCATGTGAAATAGTTCCACTTAAGATTTACCTTTGCTTGAAACAGTTCCCCTTTAGGCTTACTTTTGCTATTTATAGATGAAACATGATTAATTTTAGCCTGGTTCCATGTAAACAACAGATAGTTTTGTATACGAGGATTAGAAAACAATGTCATTGCATTTTAATGAAAATGTAAATAAAAACAAAACAGGAAATTTCAAATTGGTGCTAAAGTGTGAAGCTGATGAATATGAATGTTTTATATAATTTTGTTTTCGTTGACGACTTGCAAAGTCAATCGTGTCATTCCGCAGTAGATTATGCATCTTTTTCAAAATCCTAATAGACTCGGCTGCTTTGCTGTCGAATAAACCATGACTTATTCCTTCTCAGACCTTTGACCTTTCATCAGACATTTGACCTTATGACATCAAACATCAAAATAGGTCATCTACTTGCCATTGGCAATGTCTCTATCAAATAAAATAAGCCTGGGCTTATTCCTTCTCAAGTTAATATCGTATGGACAAGGTTAACAGGCCGTAAGTACTACATTTCACTACCTTTCACAGGATTGTCCCCACACAAAGGGCCATAACTTTTTCAAAATTAATGTCTAATTTATTGGCCTTGGACAGTGATCTCATAATATGACCCTATATACATGTATTTAGTTTAAAGTGAATACCTTAAGAAAATTAAAATATTAATGTTGCATGTTCAATTTAACCAAAAATTGTCTAAATTTAAAAAACTCAAAAATAAAGTGAAATCTGATTAGTTAATTATGTCGTGCGCACCATATCCTTATTCGTTTCTACGACTGAATTATCTCGTGCACACGACTTAGTAACTCATGGCCACGACATAGTACCTCGTGTGCACCACTAAATTATCTGGTGTGCACGACTTAGTAACTCGTGTCCACTACATAGTATATCGTGCGCACGAGACAAATAAAAACACACACAGACACACATGTTACCTTTGTGCCATCAAATGTTAGCGTTACACATGTATGAGAAATAAATCTCTAAGTGAAGCAGTAATGATTCGAAGTCCTCTTAAAGAGCACCAAACATTCTTTTCTAAGAAAGAACAAAATCAAAATATATAGTAATTTTAAACTTGTTGAAAAAGCTTTATGCTGAAATTGTAAACAGTTTCCATCGAAAGAAAAGATAATGATGTAACTCTATTAATACAAATGATATTTTCCTTATCATTTGCTCTTGCTTTCTTCAAATTGAATATTTGATTTCATATAAAACTATCAAAGTTGCATACCTGACGTTACCGTTTACTTCAATAAGCATATAAGGCCCTTAACTCAAATAATCGCCTTATAAAAATATTATCTTATGTCAGTCAGTATTGTCCCCCTTTTAAAATATTGTAAAAGATCGCTTATAATAACAAACCTTTTAAAAAAGCTAGTTTATGATTTTTTTTAATTTGCAAATAAGAATATATATCTGGATTATTTAAACAAAATATTTGGTTTCTTGTTGTCGACTTAAAAAGACTTGTTATTTAGTACCGTATATCTTAATACTTTAGCACTTATCCGGCCAGTATATATTTTGATATGTTTGTATGCCGATTCTTATTTTTCTTTATTTTCATGACTTTCAGAGGGGAACAGTTTTCTTTGTTATTGAAAATTACAGGTTTTATATAAATGCACTTTGTTAAATAAATAAAATTTATTAAACATCTACGATTTTTCTATTTTAGGCTGTGAATTCCCAAAAGTTTTTAATAGGTTTCAATTTGCAATTTTTTACTCACCTGACACATAGTTCATAATGAAATTGACAAAGTAGAAAATGAAAATAAAATGGTTTGACCAGGAACAAAATTATTCTACCGAATATTGTGCGTGAATATTCAGTACTCAGCAGTTTTAATTTTGGAACTTGTTTGTAAGCTTTCAAAACCCAGGTGGTCATAATGGCAACCGATATACGATCATGCTTCTTGATATTAAACAAATAACCTGTTTTAAATAATTTCACACTGAAGATAAAAATAACATGCTTACTATTGAAGCTATTAATGGTGCCTTTACAGTAGTATGTTCAGATTTAAATCCAGCTTTAAATCCAATCCGTTGAATTATTGCATGTTAACTTGATTAACCCTTCAAGATTTCTGTTTTCCTTATCACATTTGGTTTCATTTTGAATTTGGCTGCGATGATATTAAGGTAGTTAAAACAGCATAGTTATCAATGCGTATCATAATTATTATCTATTATTTAATATGTACATATTTCTTAGTGTTCTGGACAATGTCATGTAGTATGTGAGGTTTGTGTATATCTTAGTGCGCTTTACCCTTTGCTTCACCTATTGTTTGTTCTTATAGCAAATTTAACTTTGAAAATGCTATTTTACCACCATTTATCGACTATATAAATTATATAACCCTAAAGTGTTGAAAACGAATGTCTTATTGTTACAAAAATGTTCACCAAACTGATCACTTATATACATATAGAAATTTTAATGCTTAACAATGTGAACATAAAACATGTTTAATACCATGATTACTTATTAAATAACTATGGTAGGTAAACCTTTTTTCTTAATGGCATCATCTTAATTAGATGTGGACAAGAGATAAAAATATGATTATCGCATAAAGTTTCAAATTGAGTTAAAACCAAGTCTATCTGCAACGAAGTCGCCGATACATTCAGGCAAATTCCACATGATCCGAATCCAAAGTGTGTCAGTGCCTACCAAATATCTAAAACAAGAAATAGTAATTTTTATTGATAGTTTATTTTTTCTGTGCATATCTCTTGGATAATAATAACATTGCAGTATTCTAATATATATATATATGACATATTGGTATTGTAAAAGTACATGTATAACAGTAAAAGGCGGAAACATAGAGGAGTATATCATGGCAAAATTTGAAAATGCTGCCGGTGGTTACGTATGCGACTCTCATCATTACTTCCTTTTTGTACGTATCAATCTTACAAACTTTATTCGTAAAATAAATGTTCTAACATAAATGAAATGTTTTTGTAATTAAGATTTTCGAAGATGGTCGAATATTTCCCCCACTCTCAAGGAAGCATTGAAGTGACGGCATGGCCGAGTGGTCAACGCATTCAACTTGTTATCTAAGGATCGCTAGCTGCGTGTGTTCAAATCCTCTCAGTGACGAACTGATGTTTCCTTTACGAACCGATGTTTCCTTGAGTAATAAACATTACACACATTGCTCAGTTTTGGTTGGTCTCGGTAACGGAAACGAGAATATATCTAAAAGCTTATGGCTTGCCTCCTATATACTCGAACTAAAATAAATTTGTAAAAACTATTGATACAGCTATCTGAAAAACCACTACTTATAACATAAATGCTTTAAATGAACGAACTTGAGCATTCGATATATGTCCGGCAAAAACATAGATTTTGGAATAAGTAATTTACCTCTTTTTAGGGAATTTCGACGTTACAGAATGTATGTATGCGTTTATAACAGGTTGAATATTTGGCGATGCAGATTCCATCAACGGCCGAAGAACCCCGTCAACTTTTAAAAAGAAAACAATAATCAATAATGAATTATATTGTTCATAAATAGATATAATCAACACAATATGATTTTGCTATGTGTAAGACTGTAAATTATGCAGCGTTCATAGGATTCGCTTGACGTGAAATGGTTTAAAAAGTGATTCAATCAACTTAAAATCAATTTTTTTCGCTACGTAAGAATAAGTATACAAAGAGTAATAAAAAAGTTATATTCAAATGTACACCTGATGTTTTATTAATAATAATTAGTTTACCTAATACTAATTCCTTATTTACAACTCTTAAATTGAACCGATGCATGCGAAATAATGAAATAAACTGATGACTGGTCAATATTACATAAATAGAGGATAGAGGATATTGTCAACCCGAAAACTGGTATATTACCCCGAGGCGCAGCAGAGGGGTATCATATGCCAGTTAAAGGGTTGGCAATATCCTCTATCACCCCGACAGCCATATGTTTACCGAAAGACCTATACACCAACACTATTTTTAAAGTCCGCAGTCAAGAAAATATACGCATTATCATTTTATTATTCATATTTTGCGCAAAACAATAAACGTAACAATAGCAGTTCAAGAATGATGCTATACATTTCTACATGAGACACAATATACATGTATAATCCTTTAAATATCATATTTAAACTATAAAATGTAGTTATGAAGCTTTTCTATCTATTTGAAAGTGATCAAAGATATTTTTCATTGTTATCGAGTTATGCAAGAGTTATGTGCCCAAGGGTGATATAAGAAATATTCACCGGGGAATATATCCTAGGAGGGTTATATTCAATCAGAACATATAATAGATTTCTATGAGTTTCAATGTGAAAATATAAAGTAAAATATCCACATAATGTATCTTAATTGAGTATTAGGTAATAAAACAATTATTTCTTGGAAGGTTTACATGGGCCTTTGGCCTCTGGTAGCAGTTCCAATTGTCATCCTTGATACCTCGAGGCAACAGTTTGGACTGTTCCACAAATACCCATGAAATAATTGTGTAATACATTCGTTTAACATTCAGTGAATTTATTTAGTTATTTTTCTGATTTCATTTTTATTTGACTGTTATTTTTCTGATTTTATTTAACAATTACAACAACGAAAGCAAATAAACAACATCAACAACAACAACAACGACAATACCAACGACGAGAGCAACAGCTTTTATAATCATTGAAATTTTTGCCATAAAGAAAAGCAAACACTTTGAATATCAATACAGATAAACAGGTTCGAGTTGAAATAATTAAATATAAGTCTTTTTAAGAATTCAGTTTTTCATGCTTTTCTTTTCTTGTAGCCATTTGTTTTGGTAACATGATATTTCATACTTCTATGACACATATACTTGTGTTTGGAACTAATGATTTAATTGAAATTTCTATAATTGAAAAAAAACACATACAGTTGATTTTATCAAAACAAAGAAAATAAAAAACGCATATTTTACTTTTAGAATTATTTACTAAACCATACGTTTTTCAACAGCGTCGTTTGGAAGTTGTACTCTGACCTCAGCTGACAAACTCGCCACTTTTTCTTCTGCCAAGCGACGGAGATTTCCTCTGCCCCAAATTGCAGTTTTGAAACCTCCTGGCTCTATGATTTGTACTTTTACACCCTTTCTATACATTTCCCTCCTAAAACAAGCCCAAATGTAAATATAATACATGCACAATATTGTTTTAGTATACATGTTCATATACAAATCTAAAGGGCAAGGTTCACTAACGGGGTATTTCAGCTCTGTAGTTTTACAAATGCAAACCATAAAGTTTTACAATATATATTTCAAGTCACAATTTTGTCATATTAGTATGAAAAATGAATTGCCCGACCGGTATGCATTAAAAATTAATCACGAATTTCAGAGAGAAAAAAAAGATTTTGCAATGTCGTGCAAATATAGAATGTGACGTCCACTGCGTTATGTAAATAAAGCGTAAGGACGCGCCTAATGTTAGCGTTACACTATGATCTCATCAATGAATTCTTTGATTCTATTTCAATGTAAACAATTCTTATTTTATGTATGTGATAAATAGAAAGAAGATTATGTGTGTGTAGCTTCATTACTTCAGTTATTGAACTCGTTGAGTAAAATAATATTAAGCTCCCCGGAGTCTCGTTCAATAAATTCAGTATTGACCCTACACTCATTTTTTTCTTCAAATAACTGTTGAAAATAGTTTAAATATATATGATTTCAATTATGCTTTGACAGATTTAACCAGTCTGTACATCGGAGTTATTTGACCGGATTCTATGCGTTGGTTTTGACGTTCCAAAAATGACAATGTGCAGTCCTAAAAGGGGGACATTTTACAAGTCTATGGGTTTAAAGGAAATAAAATGAACTAGTTAAGCACCTGAGAACATCTGAAAATGCCTCCACACCATATTTTGAAATGCTATATGACGAACATAAGGCGGCGACTCTTCCCATAACACTTGATGTATTAACAAAACGTCCCTTTTCCATGATAACTAATTGGAGAAATGCTTTAGTTACCATTATAACTCCAAACAAATTCACAGCTAATGTGTCATCATAGTCTTTTCTTGAATGCAGGTTGATCGATCCAATTCCACCAGATATACCAGCATTATTTACAACTGCCCACAAACCTTGCAATTTAAATCAAACAATTGAGTATATGTAATTAAAACAAATATAATGTCTAAATTTAAAGAAAATAATACATTTTTAAACTAAGATCATTCTTTCATCATCAGCCTTTAACAAGTAACCTATTGGTGAATTATAACCAAACATGTCAATTTCAATAATTATAAACATGTATATGTATACATCGGCACTAGAATTTCTCTTTAACTTTTTTCACTTACCTTTCCCTTGTGGTAATGCCCTTTTTACTATTTCCATTGCCTTCTCAATACTAGCATCTTTAGTGACGTCGATCTCTATCGCTTTCAGTTTTGAAGAGCCTGTTTCATCAAATTTTTCAACAGCAGATTTTGTGAGACAACAAGCAAACACATTAAATCCTAATGTTTCCAGCTGTTTTGCTAATTCGTTGCCAAATCCCGAGTCACAACCAGTGATTAAAACATATCGTGCTTGATAGTTTCCAATCTTTACCTGTCTAATAACCCATTCAAAAACAAGTAAAATAACTATAATGCATCCACATATTATCCAAAACGCCATTTTATATCAATGTGTACACGCTTAAACCACTTTAAATATGTTTACAAACAATATTTGTTAAAGTTTACTCAACCGCTACGCTATCATGCGATATGGTAGTTCATAAACATTAAGTTTTGGTTTAAAAGATACGCACATCCCAAAGATTTTGCGACTTTAAAACATAGGTTTTATGATATGATATAAATCAATCATTTACTTAAACTCGAGATGAGCTAAAAAAAGAAATCTATCTAGGAACTGAGCAGTATAATCTGTCGATAGGTCTGAAAATTACACATTTCACAGAAATATAATAATAGATTTATTCCAAGAGTATGAGTTTTTTCAATACTTTCGGAACTACGCATCGTCGGCAATATTTACACGAAGTGAAAAGTATAAACCTATTTCACACTAATATAATTCTATCAGATTACAACATTGTTCTTTGAAACTTAATGCACTTGTAGATGAAATGCTGATTATGTTTTAAAATGTCACTTTTTTTTCTAAAATTGGTTGAACAAACAACCCTCGAACTCAATCTCGTTAAATAATGTATTTCATTTATAATAACAATAAAACACATTTTACAATAAAAGACATACATGCATTGACGTTACATTTGTATCAACATATGCAACACCTTTGCAATGAATGTTACGTTCAATTTAAAAAAAGTTTAATTAGCCATGCGTTAAATAGAGGATATTGAATGAATGTAGGTTTAATACTGAATTTATTGAACGAGTGGAATAAAATCATATTATGCGAGCCTCTTGTTTTATTCAACGAGTTCAATAAATTTAGTATTAAATCTACACGAATATATATTCTATTTATCACTATTTAAAAGAGAACGGTTTACAGCTCAAATGAGTCATTTTTCAGTCACGCGCCTATAGTGTATCGCTAACATAAGCGCGCTTTCACGCTATACAATATTATTATACTAGTGTAATATTGTTTTTATTACATGGCTTTATTACACTCCTGCGCCGCGGTTTATGTGATAAAAATAAATATCAAACATAGGGAATGTGCAATAAAAGTGAAGAAAAAACACACATCAATTAATAATATCTTATTAAATGATCAATTCTCTAAGGTATCATATGATGGTATTTCATGCAGCTGTATTAATGAATTATGACATTATAGGCCCCTCTGTTCTTTAATATAAAAGTGCTTCACTGATGTCAAAATGCCTATAACATAAACTTTGAAAATCTTACATTTTACATTGATCATCCGATTCGAGAGAAAAGCGTTGCACATTTTTTAAAATCGTTGACCATTTTTATAATTAAATATAAATATTCAGCACGAAGGATTATCAGTTAAGTGATTTTTCCGGCTGTATTTTATTGTACTTTTAATGTAATACATGCTCCGTGTAATAACCTCTAACTACTTTCCTCAACGAACTATTGCAGGGCAGGCAACAGGCTAATTCTTATTCGAAACACATATTACAGAATCAAATGCATTTTCATTTCACAATTCATGAAAAATACAAAAATAAACATGGATACATAATGCCAATAATTAACATGATTACCTTTACCTATGTTAATTACATTTCTTTATTTACAATAATAATATATCATAAAGGGAAACTCAAGGAAAACTTTTGCCTTGCATGTAAAATTAATCACAAGTTAATCCCTATGAGAAATCGTTAGAATCCATCCGTTTGATGACGTGAACGTAACTGTTTAAGAAAATAACCAGTATTTTTATTGAATCTTTAACGCACCTAAGTGTGTGATTATTCATAGTTAGTGTTATTGGTTCAAACAACAACAACAAGAACAGGAACAACAACAACAACAAGAACAACAACACACCTCTCTTTATCGCTTGAATGCCTACCGAATTATTATTATTCTTATTATAACATAATGTATTGTTGCTTATATGTCTTCGACTTCTCGAGATCAGCGTATAAAAAGAATGGTGGCTGATTTGTGCCAAGTCGTATTTTCGCTCCGCGGGGTTCAAGTTAACCACGGTAAAATATCTACACCTTACAATCCGCGAGGCGCCATACGAAACCACAAATATACGACAAATGATCATTTTGTCGTTTTATTCACCTTACGCATCTCGGGCGCCAGATGATAACGCGATAGTATGACATGGCACTAATTAGCCACCATAGGAAAATACAACAGAGCTCGAGTTATTTGATATTAAGCGAAAAGTGAGATAACTCCCTTGCATCCTTAGCCCACCATATTCACATTATACTCCCTTGCTGTTTTAACTCGCTTGTTTGTTACTTTAAGTAGCCGAATGTATCTAAATTATGTAATGTAAAAATCACAACCTTAACATTAAAATGTACAAATATTTAATATGGAGTAGCTCACGTAAATTATAAATCTATTTTTGTTAGCAGTAATCAGGAACGATATTTCTGATTTGAGGTATAAACAAACTGTTGTATGTAGATATGACAGGATTATTGAATACACTAACTCATGTAATTTCATACTTGATATGGTCCAGTTGTTACAAGAAAATCATTGATGAAGCATCAAAGGGCGTCCAAGCGACAATTGGAGCAAGCGACGATAAACTGATGACCAGATATCTTCTTATAAATTTTTCAATGGTTTATTGGATTTTACCAGAATTTTTAATCATAGATAAATGGGTGAACGAAATACAGTGTCCATCATAAACTTTGGTAGGCTTGCTAGAGGTTACAGTATTAAATGTATTTTCTTCGGAACATATAAAACATTAGTCAAAATGAACAAAGTCTGTATTTTACCTTTATTATAAATGTAACAAATATACAAATGGTATATAAAAATAGCAACATAGGAAGGACTTATATAGTAATATTACATGCATTTTTTCAAGTCAAATTTAACTAAAGGCCTTCTTTTAATGCCCGGGACTCGAGATACAGTAGTAATATTTTAAGTCCCAGATGATAACTGAAAAAAGAACACACACTGGAATGAAAAATATTGGGATGATTTTCAAAGTGACCGAATTCAGGATTTTTCTTTTGTGTTCATACAATGATACATTAAAATCATGAATATATTTGCATAGCATGTTGATATTGTGAAACATTATTTATTAATGTAATTTTAGACGGGTATAAGCATGGTACTTGCATGTTTTTTTAACTGTCAAGATAAAAAGTACACAGATCTTATACAGATCAATGTAAAATATAACCTTAGTATTTAAACCATATGAGCCGTGTCACGAGAAAACCAACATAATGGGTTTGCGACCAGCATGGATCCAGACCAGCCTGCGCATCTGCGCAGTCTGATCAGGATCCATGCTGTTCGCTATCAGTTTCACTACTTGTTATAGGGTTGGTAAGCGAACAGCATGGATCCTGATCAGACTGCGCGGATGCGCAGGCTGGTCTGGATCCATGCTGGTCGCAAACCCATTATGTTGGTTTTCTCGTGACACGGCTCATATGGGTTAAGTGATTTTAACTTATGGATCCAGTATGTTTCTTTACACAAACGTTCCATGTCATTTTCAACAATATCTATAGGCATGAAAGAAAAGTCATTTAACCCTTTACCGCATATATACGTGAAACAACGCACTTTCGACCCCACCCCCTCCCCTCTTTAAGACCGCAAATAATGAAACAATGTCCTGTTTGGGCCCCAAACACATGTTTTCGTTTGAGAAATGATGTTAGAAAAGTGACCACTTTTTCGGCGCGGCCCCTAAAACAAAGGAAACATCAGGGGTGGAAGAAGGTGAATGTGCCCCCTTCTGTTTGGGGGGGGGGGGGTTGAAGGCGGCGGCAGTCCCCCTCATTGCAAGGACATTTTGGCTAAAATGACCCCAGATCGATCATAAGGTATCGTGTAACCAACGCTAAAAAAGCATTTGACTCTATCTCAATCCATTAAGAAGTTGCAGCACTTTGAAATCCATTTTAGCCAAGTTTGATTAGTATTGAAACAGTTTTTATAGATTTATAGCAATTTGAACTTGTCACGAGAGACTTTTCAATGAAAACAGCCATTTTTTCACAAAATTCTTATGAAGTAATAGGTTAATGAAAAAAAAATCTACAAAACAACCATTTTTCTTCATTAATGTGTTAGACCACGTTTTAAACATGGAAAAACGTGATTTCGGGTAATTTCAGGTATTTTCATCATTTTTATTAGCCCTTTATCTCATATATACGCGAAAAAACGCACTTTCGACCCCACCCCATCTTTAAGGCCGCAAATAATGAAAAAAATTCCTGTTTGTGCCCAAAACACATGTTTTCGTTTGAGAAATGTTGTTTAAAAAGTGACCACTTTTTCGGCGCGGCCCCCAACCAAAACATACATCAGAGGGTTGCCAGAAGGGGATGTGCTTAAAATGACCCCAGATCGATCATAAGGTAACGTGTAACCAACGTTGAAAAGCATTTGACTCTATCTCAATCCATAAAGAGGTTGCAGCACTTTGAAATCAATTTTGATGAAAAAATCAACGCAAAATAATGATTTTTGGCAATTTTGAGATGTCCCCTCGTTGCCATGGTAACAGGAAATTTAAGCCTGAGTATGTTATGTTGTTACATAGGATGGAGGTTGGTGACATCACTTAGAAAATTATCTAGTTCTTCTCTGGAGCCGTCCCATATCATAAAATTTCATCCAAGAGCCTTAGCCAAACGGAAGATTTTATATCACGTGAGCTAAGAAATTCTTGTTCCCCACACGCTTAACGCCTGTAAATTCTTCCTGGATAAAGACGGAACTAACAGCCAGTTTAACAGCTTGGACTTATCTAAACTACTTAAGCTAGTACCACTTCAAATTTGACGACGGTTATTATTTACAAAAGATGGGTACGGCCATGGGTAGTGCCATGGCCCCATCATACGCATCATTATTTATGGGGAAACTAGAAAAGAGACTTTCTTAGCTCACGTGATATAAAACCTTCCCCTTGACTTAGGTGCTTGGATGGTATTTTTAGGATATGGGACGGCTCAAGAGAATAACTAAATAATCAACAACTTCCATCCTAACATAAAATTTACATATAAAGTATCGCCGAAATATGTAGAATTTTTAGATGTGAAGATATCAATGAGCTCTTCCTTGTACTTGTTCGTTTTTTAAAAAATGTAAACAACAACAACTACCCTTTCACCAATTGGAACGTCTTAGACAAAGACTGACTGACGGAAAGGGTCGAAAAGTTGCGATTGTCTTTTCAAAGAATCTGAATGCATTCCATAAAGGGCGTCGAGCTTCTGTGCGGACGCCATTTACAAACATATCGACACCTTGGTGCAACTCCTATTAAATTATATAAAGTGTTAACCTATTATCCAATAGGATTTTAAATAATAAAATTGCACCCTTCTTTGATTTCGTATTTTTGTCAATGCTTAATAATGAACACTAACCTACACTAAATAAGTCTAAACCTATAAGAAGGTTTTGTTTTACTAATTTAATCAATTTTGGCATAAAGCTACAGACATTTTGATAACATGACCACCGTATTCCAAAATCGTTGGTGTTATTATGACAAAAGGTTCCGAGTATCTAAAATTTCTAGTATCGCATTTTGTCGAGTCTGATGAAAGGTATTACCTATTATCGAATTGTTTATCTCCACTTTCATGAAATAAATAATGATGACATATTGTTTTGGCGGTCTTGTATATATTTTACAATAGGGACCAATATTCTGCTTTCATGGACCCTTTTGGACAATGTATACAACGAATCATAATAACTTTGTTATTTACAAAGTTGCATATGTTTATGGTTTTAAAAGATCTCTTTGCCATACGATATTTTATTTTCATAATGTGATAACGCAAATTTTTAATGTAAGTTGATTGATTAGTGATGTACCCATGCATTTTTATGTTCATGTCATTTCAAGTATATATGTATATTGTAGGTGTAATATGTAATTATTTATATATATATTTCCTTTAATATATATAAATAATTACATATTACACCTGCAATATATATGGTAGTATTTAGTATCGAAATTAATCTCAAACGCTTTAGGCCAAGTTAAATTGTTTGTTATACAAAAATGGAAGTCAGGGTGATAACTTTTCATAAATACAAATAATTAAAGGTGATTTGTTAATAACCGATGCTTACAAAGTCAATGGAAATGGCTTCCTGTTTCTTAGCTCTCAGCACTTTTCTGTATAAAAAACATTCGGTACTTTTCTGTATAAAAAACTTGATAGATTTGTCAAAAATAAGTTTGTGTATATAAATATTGGTTGATTTTCAGTTTCCCCTACACGTCTAAAAGTGTGTAATAATAATAATAATAATTTGAATTGTGTATAAGCAAGGAGATGTGGAATATGAATTCGGTTAATCACTGATGGCGGTGTAATGTAAATAGTATATACTTTTAACATAACTAATACAAATAACGTCCCATTTAGAAGTCATATGCTACACCTATTTTGAATGGCGGGCTAATTGAAGTGAAAACCTTTTGATTTTGTTTAGAAATCGCTATTTTCGCAGGGGAAATTCCCCAAACCCTACCCCAAAAAAACTTTTTATCTTTCCCTTTCCAGATATTTTGTAACAACAGAAATTTATACATATAGTCTAGTGCTAAATCGTTTGTAATGATTACAGCCACGAATAATTGTAAACATGTATAAAAAGTTCAGTTTATCAGCGACGCTTCTATCTATAGTTTTAAGTACTTGAAACTTCAAACATCTTCACGCTTAATATCCATTATTTATCAGTTATCACTTATAAACAGCTTTATATTATGAGGGTACTGAAATCACATGAATACTACGAATAATTAAGATACATGTTTAAGTACAACACCCTGCACGCCTAACAAATATTTTAATAAAGTGTTAACTTAATGTTAATAATAAAATATTAATTTCAAACATTCTACTTTCTACAGATTTGTGTCTTAATTCCTTTATTTTACAACGCCCCTTTATCATATTTCCGTGTTCTTTATCTAACTATAATATACATCACGCTTTATAAAACATAGATGTTTGATATATTTTTCGCTTACTTTAAAAGGTTTAAAAATAGAAACATATCCTTGTGTTCATGAGCTATTTAATGTTGTTGAAAGGTCAGATTTCCTAATTTTAATTTACCTCTTTTTCGGGAATTTAGCCGTTATAGAATGTAAATAGGCATCAATAACTGGTTGAAGATTTGTGGAGGCAGAGTCCATCATCGGTCGTAGAAACCCATCAACTTTTTAAAACGGAAATACACATAAAACAAACTCATGATCCAATTAAGATACAACATTACAATATCACCAACGTTTCTGTTGAAAACTCTGAGACGGACCTACGGTCATGCTAATTTGATTTCAGATGAAATCAGTTTATACCTAACCTCTTAATTGAAATGCAATAATAAGAATCAATATTTGACAATTTATGAGTAATAGCTGGGACATACGATAACGTATGTCCCAGGTAATACATGTAGCTCATAATGAATTTGACGAAATAGGTTGATAGAAGCTGTAACCACAATTTGAACAAAGCCTCATGTCAAAGGTCAACATGTTGCACACTATAAATACGATAAATGAAACAGAATAATGAAATACAGAATCACAACATTTTGTCATCATTTTCCCCATATAATTTACTAAATTAAAAACGTTTTATGCTTCATTGTTGGTTCATTCAGCTATATATCAATGCAATTCATTACGAAAAGGGTCATAACTAATAACTTAAATTTCATATAAAGAAATAAATAAAGTTAAAGATAAATAAACATCAAAAAGTTGCATTAAATTTTTTTACGTTGTTCGACGGCGTCAATAGGAAGATCTGATCTGACATCAGCCGACAAACTCGCCACTTTTTCTTCGGCCATGCGCCTGATATTACCTCTGCCCCATACTTTGGTTTTAAAAGCTCCTGGCTCGATGATTTGAACTTTTACACCTGTTCTATACATCTCTCGCCTGACAAGAAAACATACAGTAGTACAACAAACTCGGAATATTTTACCGACTATGAAACTAAGAACAACGTACGTCATACTAAAAACCCATTTGATCCAAGACCTGTTAAAAGCTTCTCAGTTTGAGTATTATGGCTACAGTTTGCTAAATTATACTCATTGGTAAACCTTTTTGTGTCTTGCCTATAAATGATCTTATATAAATTTTGCATAGAGATATTTTCATATTTGAAGTTTTATGTGTCGTTAGAAAAGAAAAAATCTCAATAAAGCATCGTATTTAATGTTATAAACATCTGGCAGTTACTCTATATCATCTTAAAAATGGTACAACATGCATTTACTTAGTATATCATACCATGAGTTTGGATTTAAATTTTCATTTCTATCTTTCAAAATGTATAATTATGCATAAAAATAATTCATTCACCTTAGAACATCTGAAAACGCCTCCACACCATATTTTGAAATACTATATGATGCACTAACTCCGGCGATTCGTCCCAGTACACTTGATGTATTAACAAAGCGTCCCTTTTCCTTGACGACTAATGGCATACATGCCTTAGTTACCATTATAACTCCATACAAATTGACAGCAAAAGTGTCTTCATAGTCTTTTCTTGAATGCAATTTGATCGACCCAATTCCTCCAGCTATACCAGCATTATTTACAACTGCCCATAATCCTTTGGATAATATAATGCATTAAAGGAACACATGATTAAAGGATAACAATAATATTAATATATAATGCTTTATAAATTATAAATTTAATCGTATTATATTCACTTTGTTGTTAATATAGCACAGTGTGTATATTGTGATCATCATCTAATAGTATCAATTTTTAAACATGGTTTATTACAATACTGAATTCTTTCGGACGAGCAGACAGATGTTAAACCTATATTTGAAGATGCGTTAGCTAAGTTAAAAAGAAGTATATTTTCAGCTGTGTACGAGTCAGATGTGTTTTTGGCAGTGTATAATAGCCCCTTTATTAAACACCACGAATTGTTGACATTCTGACAGCTACTTAAAGGAAAATGAGGATTTGAAATGAATTGTTTGGACTCTCTAAATATCGAAAAAACGAGACTTTATTGAAAGGTTAAAAGGTTTCATTCAAAAAATAAATGCATGTCATCTTATTTGTGGATACAGGATTTTGGTATTTTTACTACTTTCTTTTTGACCTTTTTCGACTTAGGTGGTTGTAGTTTTCCTCCTTGAATATTGTATAATCAACTTTAGAATATGGTGCCTACATTAAATGGGTCGTTTTGACATCTTATCTGTGATATGCATGTTTCGCAAATTCTGATCTCCTTTGAAACTTGCATTTTGATTATCGCCCATTGTTTTCTCGTAAGAGAAAACGCATACTTTAACTTGGGGACCATGAGCTGCTTTACATGGAATGGCACAAAATTGTCACATTGAAGGTTTCATGAAACTGCAGTACTATTATATCTGTTTTAAGTTCAAAATTGCACCATATTCATATTAAAATTTGTATTTTGCTTTATCCGGTGCAAGGTTGCGTGGATTGTTACTTGCTGTCTCCAGTACCGTCCATGAGCAGGTTCAATCAAACCGAGCCGGGAGCATTTGAAATTATGTCGATCTTTTGGCGTACATCAGGGCTTCTGTTTTTTATTTTCTCTTATGGAACATAAACAGCACTTAAGGCATTTTCATATATGAAATGAATATATATTATAAACACAAAGAAATTACAACAACTTTTCTTACCTTTTCCTTCTGGCAATGTCCTTCTTACTATTTCCAATGCTTTTTCAATACTAGCATCTTTAGTGACGTCCATCTCTATCGCTTTCAGTTTTGAAGAACTCATTTTGTTAAAGTTTTCTACAGCAGATTTTGTGAGACAACAAGCAAGCACATTAAATCCTAATGCTTCCAGCTGTTTTGCTAATTCGTTACCAAATCCCGAGTCACATCCAGTGATTAAAACATATCGTGATTTATAGTTTCCAATCTTTAATTGTCTAATTACCCATTCAAAAACAAGAAAAAGAACAATAATGCATACACATATTATCCAAAACGCCATTTTCCCTCTAATCAAATTAATACACTTGCTCACGTAAGGATGTTTCACAAATGTAAATATTGGGTTTAAAAGCATAACTGCATAAGTATGTGCATTTATGTTATCAGTTTAAATGCACGCATTTATATATGTTAAAGTTTTCCCTATTGAGATAGTATATAATTAAAACATCTGCACAAGAATTTTTTTATTCTATAATTAATGGAGCGACATTTATCTTATTTCGATATTCGTCTCACCAGCTTTTGCACGTTTCAAAAAAACAAAACAAAAACATGATGTCTGCCTACATGCAGTTACAACGTAATACTCATAAATTTGAATATATATCTCTTCAAGATTTATGTTCACGCACATAATTATGAAATTCGTATTGGGGCAGTATTATAATATATATTAACACACAGACGAGAAAACAACAACAAAAACACTCACTCACGCAAAAGATCGATGAATAAAAAATAAAACAAAAAGAATTTGACCCACTCCCAAGAAAGAATATAAAAAGACAACAATAACAAAACAATTGATAACATGACAAATCATATTCCTGACGAGTATGATGATATACCATAAATGATGTGGGCATTGCAATATGCATTAATGGAATTTAGGATGACTACAATGTTATATACAATTACCATATGTTTATATTTAGTTTTTATGCTCGGCATAAGAAAAAATAATTTAAAATATAAAAAGAAAAATTAAAAATAAGATTTGGTCCGACTTTTGTAAATGTTTCTGCTGTTGAAATGGCCTGAAATAAGGCACACATTCGATTCCAGGCCGACTATATAAAGACACACACACACACAAAAAAAAGATAAAAAGAACACAAAAACACTGAGAACCCTAATTCCCATTTCATTTTGCTTTGCGCCTTCCTGTAATTATATACTAAGACCGTGCCTATTTTAAAACTCTATGATTTTTTTCACTCTCTCTAGAAAAAAGAACATCACGTCCACCAAAGAACTATACTACAACTTAGCTCTTTGCCTCTGTGCACTTGAACCAAATAAATACACGCACATAGCACGGATGGAACGTTAACCTTATGAAATAAAATTTAAAGCATGCGGTGTAAACATGAATCGGTAGTGAAATAGTTTAAAATGACGGTAAAAAACATTGGAAATGCACATGACTCGAATATCTTAGCTGACTTATCAGTTTAAACACTGCAGTATACGAGTAATTATTGTAAATTTGTGTAAGATAAAGCACGCAGTACAAGTCATGCTACTTTTATTAAAGTAAACATCTATTATGTATGTGATGGGAGATTATCATGTACGGTGGCATAAATGGCCATCAGAAATGTTTTTCGACTACGTGCACACGCGATAGCTACTAATATTTCTGATGTCTCCTCTATGCCACCGTAATTATGAAAACTGTACTTGAAGTATGTTGTAAGAAAGTTGAATTGTAATTGGTTGAAGTAGTTTATGCTTGAAACGGTAAGTCTATAGACCCAACAAACTATTTTGTAAAACTATTCCTATGACACTTACTTTCCATGCTATATTAAACTGTGTTTGCTTTTTGTATAATATAAAATGATACATATTATTTGTGTGACCAAATATCCTTCTAATTTGCGCAAATAACCACACTGTTATTGTCAGTTACACCATTAACTTGTTTTCGTGTTAAGAAAAATCGAGGCATAACTCTTTTTTCTTCTTAAATTTTAAATAGATTAAAATTATCTCTAAAGACTCTATTATCTATTACTTAATCAGTAGATAACCTGTCGAAGTTATTAATAGATTGGGAATACTGCCCATTGTTCAATTCCAAGTAGGTCTTACATAAAAAGCTGCATCACTTGTGCAGTCTCTCCTCTCATTTCACATACCTTTGGATTTAATACAATTCATTGACTAGAAAATATTTTTCTAGAAACTATTTATGGAAAGGGTAAATGTTAAAGTTGTTTAAACACCATGACGGTGATTTAACAACTTGTGAAATGTGTAAAGTTGTACAGTTCTTATTATTCTAAGTGCAAGTTTGTGTAACTTGTTGGCTTTCATATCTACATATGAAATCGTTTATGTTTCTGGGTTAGTATCTTTGTGCCAGATTTACTAAGCTACTGCTTTACTATAAAGGTGGTGTAGGTACTTAGAAAAGTTTGTTTATAAGTGACTGAGGTCGTAAAGAACCCGAATCACCATGTTGGTGAAGTAACCACTTGTCACATTTACACCATGTTGGTGATTTAACAAATTAAGGTTTTCAAACATAAAAAGGTTTAGTTCTTCGATCACCATGTTGGTGATCTAACTACTTAGAAAATCGTCTATTAAATTACAAATGTATAATAATTGTTAAGATCCTGGATCATCATGTTAGTGAAATATATCAGTGTGTGAAAAAGTGAATGAAAAATGATTCTAATTTGGAAAAGTGTTAGGAAATAACTTATTGACGACATGCTATTTGGTGAATTTTTAGGGAAGTGTTTTAAAATGACTTTTAGTGAAGTGTTAGCAAGTGAACTTATGTGAAGTGTAAGGTTGTGCATTATAAGTGATTTGTTTAGATAATAGAAAATGTTTCATGTCACTTATTCTGTTAATCTTCTTTGATGTCTAGTGAGCTATAGTAGATGTTACAAAATGAACTTTTGTGCATGCATCGATGTAAATAACTTTAAAAATGTAGAACATAGTAAATAAAATTAGTTTAGATAAACACCTCTTCTTATTTCATTTGGTTATATAATTGAGTTTCTTAATCTGGTACTAGACGAATCACAAAAACTGAGCATCTTGTTCAGGTAAATTAATTTACTTATCATATCACACGCCCAATTTGCCCGCAGGATCGCTTCACTATCAAATCGATGTATACTACAGTAAAGCCTTGAATTCTTCATTTGTGATATTGGCCTCAAGCAGGGAGATCCGAGCTCACCTCTGTTGTTCATGCTCTTCGTGAGTGATATAATACAGAAAAAACACTGTTCAATTCATATCTAATTGATCAATCAATCAGTCAGAACTTCTTGTTTCAAAAGTGAGTTATCTTCAAGTATTAATGAATATTGATAAATCATGTAAAATATGATAAACAATATCAACAAGGAAAGGCGGCGTTCAATGAACGCAGCCCCAACCGACCCAATAACAAGAGCCAGTGGCAAGGAGTCCAGGAGGATCCCTTACAAAAACAGGACAGGGCACAAGGCAGAGCACGAACAGGCAGACCACTATTAAGAATAAATAATAAGTAACTGATTAGGAACTAAAAGAAAACAAATAACTGATTGGATATTAGGCCCATAAAGTCAAAAGGCACAGGGAAAGGGGACATAAGAGTCGGGGAAGTGGGGAGGGGTAATAGATAAAATAAATAAAACTAGGGGCAAAGGGGAAGACTCTGTAATCTATGTTCTCTTTGTATATGTAAACTTTTATTTTAAAAACATTGCAAAATGTTAAATGCTGAATAAGCTTCTGTATTGTTGTATTGTATTTTATATGACCTTTACGGTGTCTTTTTGCCTTAAAACCCACCCGGAAATTAAATGTCTTTTCAGATTGATCAATGAATTAGTCAGTGTAAAACATTTTTGTTTGTTTTGAATTGAAATTTTAAACAAAAACTGTTAATAAGATTGGAGGACTCCATTTATGTTAATCTTTTGATTTTTTTTCTTCTTATTTCTAAAGAGATAGCTTCCACGCATATAGATTACAATATCTGAGGTTGTGTGTTTTTTTGTTGCTTTGTTGTGTTTTTTTTACTTTTGTTCTCCCAATTTTCCGGAAATTCTGAACAGTCGGATACTAGCAGCTGAAATAAAAAGTTCAGCTAATAATGTTACTTCACAATTGTTTTGACATCTTACAATTTTTACAAGACTTGTTGGGTTCAATGTCAGTCTTTCTAGTTGCTTCTTCAGAATCGGAAACAGAAAAGTTTTATATTGAAAATGTTCGGTGATGCTACTGAAATTGACAAATGTAACTTTTGTTAATTGGCAAATGCATATAAATCTTCTGCTTATTTCTTTCATGAAAATACTCAGGCTAACTTGGTAATTGCATATCTACCTCTTACAAAATAAAATGTCTTTCAGAATTAATCATTGAATTCAAGCTATACTGTCTTGAAGAAATTCTGCTTTTGAGCGTTTATCTTAATGATTTTAAATTATAAACATATACTATATTATACAGGTTTATATAGGTTCATTGAATGCCGCCTTTCCTTGTTGATCTTGTTTATTATATTGATAGAAATTTGTGAATATATACCATTTTCTTGAAGTCTTCTGCCGTCAACGTTTGCCGGAGACCAGCCAGTGACACAATTGAATAAATATGCATCTCTCCGACCCCCTGCTCAAAGTACGATACCGTCCACAGAGCCACAATGCAGCAGTGCTGGCATATGGCAATATTTATGTCGCATATCACAATTCGACAAATAAATTTGTATGAATGTTGGGCACGGGTATAAATTTCTTCTCTTTGTTTGTTACATATTCACATAAACATTCAGTTTCCCGGCTTTGTAATCAAGAGGTCACTGTCTTGATCCTTGTTCGGGGCAAAAGTTGTCCGAGACAAATGACTGCAAATATTAAGTATAATGTAAAGTTGTCTATTAGCGCTGATTCAAAACAATATGTGGACACAATGTATATTTGCTCACGTAACGAAAAATTCTTAACTGGCAATAAATGGTCAGTTATCTAGAAATACCGGATAGGTGGACTGACCGCCGGAATATTATCAAAATATTAAGCGTGAAACAGATAAACATGCCAATACATGTCGGACACATATTTAAGGCTAATCTATGAAGACATCTGAAACTGTAAGAAACGGACCCTGAAAATCTATACACAGATATGTCAAAAATATTGGTGAGCTTTTTAAGGAACGTGTAAACATACAAGTATTTCATGATAAAACCGCAGTAAATATTTGTGTGATTGCAGGCCGAAAAATCAAGCAATAATAACACCAGCAAGCTAGTAATACTCTATTTAGCAAGTAAACTTATTCGACTTTGCATAATACATGCAAGAACATATGTCACGCCGTAGCGTTATACTGTCTTTTTCTCCGTGAGATCGGCCGGCTATAAAGGTCACATATCCTGCATGTTTAAGTTGAATCCAAATCAGGTATCAAAGCCAAATGATTTTAAACACGCATATCTTACACTTCTTAAAGCGGTTTAATTTGAGATGAAGTAAATTAGATTCATCAATACTGAATAGGCTATTGTTCCTACAAAGTGTCTTTGTAAAGCACTTACTACTTTCACACACTCGAAGAAAAAAAAAGAACTTAGGATTTATCGCTATTGAAGAAGTGAATTTCTTAGACTCCTCATCTAAATCTGAGAGTGTTTTGAAATGTTCTGCTGAGAAATCAACTGATAATGATTTATAAGTTGATGATGAAATGTTAAAATTCAAAAAAAGTATTTGGCCAGAGATCCTGAGGCTACTACATTAATAATAGGACGCATTTACCTGTCGGCCATGCCGATACGTTATTTTTATAAAATGTGTCGAGAAGAATACCTTTTGATAATAACGATAATGAGAAATACATACTTTGTGTAATCTCTTTATTTGCAAACAAACTAAGTAATGTACAAATACGATTTCAAATTTAAATTAACTTAACAAGTGAATGTATGCAATTTTACTAAACACTTTCCAATTACTTTTGTATAATAAAAAGTTCTGAATAAATAAAAAATAAAAATATGATAAAATATGATTGGAACTTATCACTCCTTGTTATTATTGCTGTTTCAACAATAAGCCCAGTTCCCTCAATAAAATATACAAACAAACAACAGAAAGAAAAAAGCTTATAGTGTTTATAAATTCTGATAATTTATGTATTTGAGTATTACATGTAGTTAAGTGAATAAAATCAAATTAAAAACATATATTGTTCCGAGTAAGGACTTCCACATATAGGACTGCAATAGTGTATATTAAAAACACCTGAATGAACAAAATTGTCTATGAAATGGAAACATCAATAATAACACTTTCCTTCGAAAATTAACGAAATGAAATATCATTTTCTTTCAGTTCATGTTTTACTTCCCCTTTTCAATGTTAAATATTTGCAAGAGGGCTATTGTATTTGGGCAAATGATTATCATTCTTATTCATACATGTATTCAATTTATGTATTTATTTCATAATAAGGTTTATGACATTTTTAGAATATGTTTTTGTAATGAATGCAGTGTAAATTTGGCTGTTATCAAAAAACATTAACACAATATGATGCCGATCAAATGTCAAGGCTTGTATATTTATATTTAGACAACAATATCTGTTGATAAAGCAAAAATAGAATCCACGTATAAATTTCATCTCTACGTCATATTTATTGAAGGCTAAAATTAATTTACTATTTCATGGAGTAGATTTGTTTTCTGTGATGAATTCATTTTCATATTCAGTATAATATTACACTGAGAATGAATCATTGTTTAAAACAATTGAAACAACCTGCTAATGTCTACATGGGTAAATATACCACCATAAATCAGAAAAATGTGAGTTGAATTTTATTGCAATTTAACATGAAATGTTGCTGTACACATAAGAGGGACACTCTGCAATTGGTTGTAAAATATAAGATGAAATTATTTACCCTATATAAGTGATCAGGCATTGAACTTTTCATGATGCGTTCAACAGCTACGCGAAAGCTGCGCAAAGTATATTCAAGATTTAAGTCATTTGTGTTAGGATACTATTTACAATTTGTGACAAATAATGATATTTAAAAAATATTTGACACTTTAAACCACAATATAAAATGAATAACGTAGAACCTCACTATTTAAAAAAAAGAATTCTTTTTTATGAAACTAGATCAATCATAATCGCAGAAAGGTTTAGTGTTTCTTTGTTTCACTTAAACTACCGTGAATGATTTATTCTTTGCTTTTGAATAAGTAACCATATATCAAGTGTGCGGCTTTTAATTCATTACACATTGTTTGTACTAACTCAATGAAGCACGCTTTCTTTGCAACTATTAGTTATCAATATGCTCAACTGACGAATGCGAAAAGATTCATTATTTACACGTCATTACCATTACCACCCTGACAAAACATTAAGCTTTAATTTAAAATTTAAACAAATATTCAACAAATAACATTACAGATAAATACATTCGAGTTTGTTATTCAAATAAGCAGATTCGTCGAATAAGTAAAAATATTTTGTGATTTTAGAAGAAAATTCATTTTTAAAACCCCCTTTTGTCTCGAAAATGCTTTCATTTTCTTCTCAAAACCTTTTTTAGTTTTGGTATTTTGTTACAGTTTCAAAATAAATATACATGTACCCCATTGATTATACTCTTTTTAGTTGGAGGCGATCTTTTAAAACAAAAATGATTAATCTTGAAACTAAAACCGGTGTGAGCGTATGATCTTTTAAAAGAAAATATCGGCAAGAATACTACCATATCCGTTCCGTTAAAAAAAACTATATAAACCTATGTGAAATTCCTTAAAACAGTATTCAACGAAGTGATATTTGTAAAACAAGATTGACAAAAAAGATTTCATTTCACAAAAAAATAATTTTATGTCGTGTGTTTGAATATCCAAACAAAAATTAACGCTCCTATCTATTATATTCTCAGCTTCAATACATTTGTATTTTTGTAAAATAAGAATGTTATTTTTCAGAACAACAGGTTTTTTTTTATAACTTGTCAATTGGTTGTTTCGATTACTTCTATTCGACTTTGAAATAAATTACTTTCCTTATTATCACACTGTTTGCAACGACTCTGTTCAATGTCAGATATTTCTATTCGTTTTTGTAACGTATTCTGACTTTTCCTATTAGAAGCTTTCCTTTTCTTTGCTTTAACTACTCTGCTTTCTAACGTTTCAGCAATATGTTGGTTAATTGTTTCCAGGAATTCTTGACTAGGGATAGTTATTTTATAGTCAGTAAGTTGCACAGGCTCGACTGGAGCATCAACATCTTTGTCAGTTTTTTCATGTACAGATTCGTTTGTATATATTCGTCTTTTACACTTATATATTACTTGTTTGTCATAAGACAGACTTATTTCTTTAACCTTCCCAACTGTCTTACAACACTTATCAGGTAAAAAGCCTTCAAGAAATATAATAATAGACAATTTTTGCAGGCGATGGTGCATCTTTGTAGCAACAAAGCCTGCATGATTTGCCATCAAATCTGTACACGAATTTGACATCACTGCTATAAGCGCATTGAGCAAAAGCAATGTAGTTAAAAGAACGAAAAGAACAAAGACAATGATTGCTAAAACTGGTTCTCTTGCTTTGAAAAGCACGTTAAACTCTCCAATACCAAGCATAATAGTGAACATTTTCACCATTGTTTTTGGAATATTATTGAAATCTTCAGAATCCGTTTCCGCTCCTTGCATAACCATAAACATTGCAATAGAAAAAGGTAACAGGAATAAACCCATGAGAAGTCCAAACATAAACATATCTGTTATAACCCTTTGAATCAAAACAGTGTAAAAACTAAATATCTCGAATACTTGAACAAAGAATAAAACAAGATACCATCCAATAAGAACTGAAAAGATAAGACAATAGTTTTCGTATTTGTTAAACTTTTCTTTCGCTGTTATTAAAGCAAACACGAAATCAATGATTAATAAAAGGGAGAATAATACAAAATAAAACCGAAACATATTTTTTGAATACTGCGAAAAAAAACTCTTAATTCTTTTAATTGCTTCAGTCGAGGACTTTGAAGTAAATCGAGACATTTTGATTCTTATAATTTCTATAGAAATGTACAGTGATGCAACAATGACTCCCATTATTGAAACACTTGTAACAAAGAAGTCTTCGCTCACGAGGTTAACATACGTCACTGAACGTGTGCCTGGTACCGATTCTATTATTTCCGATCTGTAGGCAGCGGCAACTGACAGTAATATCATGTATATCAAATGACAAACTAGCCATCCCCTGAAATATCGTCTATAACGCTTCCATTTTGCTTTGATCACTTCTTTGACAGGGGTGATGTTCGTAAAACGAAAAGCGTTGATTGTGTCGTGACGAACAACAAATTCCAACACTGACTCATGATGTTCCCTTTTAATATCCTCATCATGTGATCCCTTTTCCTCATTTGGAACGGGAATCGTTTCCACATCAGTAATATCGTAACTGTTCTGGTGATAAAGACCATCATTTGATTTATGGGAACTGTATATCTGCAACAAAAACACACCGAATTAAAGATAAGTAAGTAATGAAAGAGGCTGTAAAAGATTAATGTTCTTGATCTTCAAACACACTTAAAACCTAAAGAATAATTTCTTTTTCATTTGCTAGCAAAGTGAAAAGCAATGGGAAGGAAGCACATTTCAACCAAACCACAAATGCAATACTCAATATGTATATACTTTTTACATTTAAATGATATATACTCTTTCATGTTTACACTTTTTAGAATGTTTTGCGTCAGTTTTTACTTACTAGTTGCTTATTAGTATTATACAAGTAAGTGCCACTTTAATGGGAGGAAAGTACATAGGTAAACTGTTTGACGTCATGCCATGCGTTCATGGGTACAAACATATCCTATTTTAAAAAGTGTGCAACCCATGAACACGTGGAGTTGATTTTGTTTCTGAAAGTTTTAATATTTATTTCCCTTTTACTCTTACTTACTTACTCTCATTGAGTAAGCGCCACTGTCAGTATGTTGTCTCTATGCTGTTTGTAAAAAGGCCTATCTCAAACATATTTAAATTTCTACTTCTTGATATGTATCAGAGCTTACCTCGTGCTGAATGAGTATTTCAAATATTGAAAACTGTTTTCTTTTCGCAGCTAACTGCAATGGTGTCAGATGTTCTTTATTTTTGATCAGCAGAAGTTTCTTCACTTGATTCCTCAACTTCCATTCATGCTTGGCAAAGTAATTGCTATACTCATCTACTGCATTATCTTCTTCCTTGTCTTCTTTTGTGATAAAGTCACAATGCACGATAAAGTTGACCATTTTTACAATATTATCCATCTTATCAGGCTTGATAGATGCATATTTAATAAGGGAATGTATAATATTATCTTTCTTGTTGTCTGTGACGTCAATTTCTGATTCAAAGTATCTGAGGATGACTTTAAAAATAGTTTTGTTAAACATTAAGGAAGCAATTCCAAGTAATGTTCCTGCCGTCATAATTGTGCCTTTAAGTCTATCATCATCAACACATTTCTCTGTTAACGATTTCTTTTGTTTCTTTGTGTCTTCTTCACTATCTAAACTTTGTGCCATCTTTTTTAGTAGGTATTGGTCTCCCTGGAAAATTGCAATATGTATTGGTGTAACACCTGTTTCTTTTACTTTGCCATTCACTAATTTCAATTTTTGAAAAAAGATAAGTTCAGGGCAATCTTTAATAATACATTCAATAACTTTTCCAAGCGTTTCACTGCGGGGTTCACTTTCCCTTTTTATTGACATGGCTCGAATGAGTAAAGAGTCACCATCAATGCTTTGACTTTCCCATTGGCCTTCTTCATTTTTAATGTTAAATTTACCTTTCAAAAGAAATCCGCTATCTGTAAGCGAACGTGCATCTTCATGTTCTGTTTTATTCCTTAAAGATTGGAAGAAAGTTTCGAAACATGTCACTATTCTAAAGTCCTCTTCTTTTGAGTTACGGATGTTTCTGCATTCAGATCGATCTAGTTTTTCAAGTTGTGCATATAATTTCTTTATGTCAGATTGAATATTTCGTTGCCCCATTGTTAATTGCAATAGGAATTCCAAAACAACTACACCGATAATGATAAATTAAGTAATCGTTTATCCTTATCATAAAAATCAAACTTATTAAAGATTATGTTAATCACAAATATTTCAAACATTAATCATGTCTACTCTTCGTGGCACTTTTTTTTATAGGCAAATGCTTTTGAAATAACAGAAATCAAATTTTAAAGATCGATAGAAGTCATTTTTCAGTACGATACAGATCAAATTACTAACTTTGCTTTCTATAGCCAGTTACGATTCAGTAATTTCAATAAATGTTATTTGGCATATTTTCACAGTTGAAGGCACAAAACAGAAAGGTAGAAACAATGAAAATGATTAGTTGTAATATTTTATGTTTGAATATTTACAGCAAATAATTAATTTTCTGTTGAGCAAACGAAACTATAATTCATTCACTGCTCTGTGAACATGTATTTTCTAATACACATTCGAAAAAAGATAAAGAGACATATGTATCATTAAACATTTATCTTCTCCTTTATTGCACATCATATCTCTTGAAGTACAACTTCATTTTAATATGGCTTTCATAAAAGAAAACAGAACAATTTGAAAAAAAAAATATGAAACACGGGGGGGGGGGGGGGAGGTGGCTATAATATAATAATGATGCCATTTTTCTTTATTTTAAAATACGCATAAATATAAATGTATATGTTAATATAAGAAACCTTGCGTTAAACTTACTTTTTTGTTTTCGTGTGACTTACTGTCAAAAATTTGCTTGTTTTAATATACTACATATGTAAAGAATTTTTTAAATCTACATATCCTCTAGCAACATTTTATATTGCCTTCTACGATAAAGGGTGTCAATATATTCGTTGATTTTGTGTTCTTAATGAAAGATGACGGCGTATTTTTATTTATTTTCTTACAAAATTATACCGTCTTGTATGAATAACTAAGCTGCATTTGTAATGTTCACACAATCCAAAGAATGTTCTTGAAAACCATTACACGTAGGACAATGCACTTCGTATTGATATTTGACAAACGTTACCGTGATTATGATAGGATAGTCTGTTTGGATTTAGGAAAAGTTTCTCAACTTATTTTATAAAAATATATAATATATACATACCGAATTTCAGAAGTCGCCATTACTCATTTATGTATGGGTAAGAGTTCGTATTAAGACGACCGTAGGGATCGAACTCTTACCCATATAACTGCAAATCGGCTCTTACAACTCGATATCAGATAAAAATATAGAAAGTGTCACCTCTTTAATTTAGCATTTAACATTATTTTTCCCCAGCAGTCACGTACAAACATGGATGGGGTCCAATTAATTAAATTGGCATGTAAAACAATGAGTTTTCAACGATACCTAGGATTGTTAATGCAATTCATTCCTGTCATATGAAACAAAATAATGTTTTGCTTACTTTTTCTAGAAAATATAAACAGCAATTAATAATTAACATTTTTTTAAAAGGATATCAAAAAGTTACTGTGTTCTCATTTGTCTCTGCGAGCTGAGCTCCACGTGTATTATCTATGTAATAAATTTGAATGTATCCTTACATTGCTACAGTGTTAGAAACACCTGACCTGGCTAATTAAAATATGCCAATCACAATTTTCACTATCAGCACTGGTTTCTTCATGAAAAAGCGGCTACACTAATTACTGCCGAGTAAGAGCCGATTTGCAGTTATATTACTTTACAAAGTCACGTGATTCCCCCTATTAACACATGTTTGACTTATATGCCTTTCTCAAACTATATGCATACTTTACATTCCATTTACAGAGAGAGGCTTACAAGGCATAAATGTAAAAAAATAATGTCTGACCCGATAAGCCCTAGTGTGTTAAACTTACCGGGGAAAATCTCATTTTTATTGTTGTGTTCCACTATGTGATTCAAATTCTAGATATGATTATACACATATTTTTTTTATAAAATAACGAGGATTGGAGTATAATAAAAGCAGGGATTGTGGAAATAAAAGAAATGAACATTTCAAGGTCAAGTTCCATTGTTCTATTTTTTTTTTAAACCAAGCTTCTTTAGATGAATCACTACTTCCCTTAATTAATCTGATTTCTCATTGTTTAAATGTTTTATTTTATAATAAACATAAAAATATGCAAAAAAGGAACAGCCTAACGACCATTACCAAAGTACTCGATGCCTTAAAGGAAGGCAGAGTAACAAGGAAATCACCTACAAGGGCCCGACAAAGCAAGCAGAAGACGAACATTAAGACAAAGGGCTTTAAGAACTGTCCATCATAGAGTCTCCCACTTAGTCCGTCAGATGTAATTAAAAAAGGAAAGCGAAGCGTCCAACTGTAAAAGGGTTGAACACCAAGCATGCAGTATGCTTTAAAATAATTGGGTCATAACCTCTTTTAATAAACCGTTTGATAATTTTAGTGAAGACGGCAGAAAAATTACTATGACCGGGTCACCCATGATCCTACGAAGTTTGTAAACCACATCTCCATAGAAGTCAGGTTTGCTAATACCTAGTCGTAAAAGAGTTTTTAAATTACAATAAAATTTCAAAACTAAGTCTGAATTACGATGGTAAAACTTGGTAAAATATTTACGCAATTTATGATAGCGATAACCCTGTTTAAGAAGTTTGTTAGTAATAAATAAATTCCGTTCATTAAAATCATCAACACGACTGCACGCCCTAGCAAATCTAATTAATTGAGAAATATACACCCCGTATGATGTAGCAAGAGGCACATCCCCATCAAAATGTGGATAGTTAACAATATTAAAATCAAAATTATCTCTTTTATCGTAGATTTTAGTTACTATAGTATTGTTAAAAGATGGATAACGTCAGAAGAGTTAGTTTTATTGAATTTAAGTTCACTGGGATATATTTTAGAAACCAATTGATCGAAATAAGGATTATTCATGTTAAGAATATCATCTAGGTAGCGGGAAGTGTTGTTAAATGCATGTGTAATTTCCGTATGTGAAGTAGGGGAAAGACTAAACATAAAATCCCTATCATGTTTGAAAACTGTATTACCAAACCTGACATAAATGTTATCTAATAAAAAAGAAAGTGCTTTACAAACTTCTTCACAGGTCCACATTGTATATTGTTTAATGATACCATTGGTAAAGAAAGCCTTCTTTGAATTGCAAGCGAGAAACGTGACCTGTTCTCTTGCAAATGTATTTTGAATTAAAGATAATAATTTATCATTTAAAAGATTATGTGGCAATGTTGTATATAGGGTAGAGTAATCGTTAGTACTTACAGATGAGGCTTGATTATTCTGAACTTTAAACTTATTTTCTTGATGGCAGTAAGACATGAAGTCAATAAAATAGAAAGATTACTGGTTGTACTAAATGTAGAATTTGCAATAAAGCGGGCTTTATATGGATGTTAATGTAATTTAGGAATCTAAGCTCTTTCTCATCAAAACGTACTTTAAAGTTAGAAATACTAGAAATATGACTGTTCACAATATCTGTTTCAGAACGAACGGTTTTAGAAAAAGCATTGGTGCTATATAAGTTCATTTTGTAAAACATTTATATAATGAATACGTCATATGATAATTATGTTATTGGCCGCCTTGTCAGTCGGAACTAAAACAAATTTAGAGTGGAACGCTAAAATATCCTTTGTTATAATTGAATATGATATTTCTGACAGGTGTTTTATATTTATAGCAGATAATTGGAATCTCAAAGTTTTTGAAACATTTAGGAATTGCGTCGGTTACGCGTCGTAAAGACTTTCTGCCCCCAATACATCTTATCACCGGTCCGCTATCTATATTTATATAAGAAAAACTGTCTATTCGTTTGCAAATTTTCTTTTTTTTTAGAATTGAACGTCACTTGTGCCGCTATTTTGAAGAAGTCTTATCATTGATATGATGTTCTTTTCCAGATACTTAGTTTCGAGCATCACATGTGACCTTGGTGGTAGGGGCGTTTTTATGTGGTAGACATATATGCTCCATTATTTAAAAATCCTTCCGTGCACAAAAAGTTACAGTCCAGACACAAACATATGTACCTTTTAATTCTTCTTGTTACAATGTGAAACCTTCAAACTCGAAGTGTGACCTTGACCTTTGACTAACAGACATGTGTCTTAAATGAAACATATCACTATGGTGTGTTTGACTTTTATGCCAAGTAATTTTTAAATCCTTCAGTGCATTAAAAGCTACAGTTTGGACACAAATGTGTACTTTCAACCTCTAAGTGTGACAATGACCTTTTAAGTAGTGATATGGGCCTTAGCCTGGACACATTGTCTAGATGTAGTACTGCCAAGTTTTTTTTTATAAATTCTTCAATGAACAACAAATTTACAGTAAAGTGTGAATTTGGCCTTGGAGGTAGGGACATGGGTCTTGGACCCGACACGTGTTCTTGATGTAGTAGACATTTATGCCAATTTATTTTAAAATCCTTAAATGCATGACAAGTTACAGTCCGGACAAAAATGCGTGTATCTATAATCTCTAATTTTGAATGCGTACACCTTCAAAATGTAAATGTGACGTTAACCTTTAAAGAAGGGACATGGTTCTTAGACGTTACACAATGAAGGGACATTGTGGTAGACATTTGTGCCAATATATATCAGAATCCCTCTATACATGCTAAAGTTACAGTCTGGACACTATTGTTGTGTAAGTAGGGACGCTTAGACGGACGGACAGACATGAGCCTAAGCTGCGACACACCATCTTGATTTAGTATACATTTGTGCCAAGTTATTTTAAAATCCTTAAATGCATGACAAAGTTACAGGCCGAACATGAATGTGTATCTTCAAACTCTTCTTGATAATGAGCACCTTCAAACTATATGTATGACCTTGACCTTGTAAAAAGGGAAAGGGTCTTGGACGAGACAAGTCGTCTTGATGTGGTAGACATTTATGCCAAGTATTTTAAAATTCTCCGATGTAAGACAAAGTTACATTCCGGACATAGATGTTTGTACCTATTAACTCTAATTGTGATGATGTGAAACTTCAAAATGTTAGTGTGACCTTGACCTTTGAGGTAGAGACGTAATTTTTGAACGCAACACATCGTCTTGATGTGGTAGACATTATGCCAAGTTATTGGAAAATTCTTCGATGCATACAGTTCGGACACG